ATTTCACCCCTCGCCCCTACCACTTAATCCTGCCCCTCTGTTTTGTGCGTTCACGTCTAAGGGTAGGGGGTCCCGATTCTTGTTGAGATAGAGGGGTAGGGCGAAGTGTTGGGGCTACATGACCCTCCAAACGGAGGTTTTTCAGAGACGCCAAACCAGTTTTTATGAAAAAACTGGCAAGATGGAGAACAAGAGACCAAAGAAACCCACAAATGTGAGAATTCTCTGTTAAAAATAATGATAATCAGTGTCTTAGTTTAATGTTGTTTCAGTGTATTATGCTCCTTTTCTTCATAACAAACATAAATCACTAGTAGTGCTGATATCTCAGTAGTTAGTGCTAAATTTCCCGTTCCACCTTAAATTATGCAGCGGTTACATTCTGGCGCCTCAGGCATCAGAACTACTGCACCATTTAAGGTGGAACGGGAAAATTCTAACAAGAAGCTGGTCAATATCTGAGTTCAGCTTCATATCACTGAAGAATTAGGGGTGGGTGATAATAAATAATTGCCCCCCTCTTTGAAGATCATATGATTCCCTAAATGTAACTAAAACCCAGCAGTGAGGAGCTGAACTTTACCCTCCTCTGCTGTCACTGCAGACTGGCAGGGTCGCCTACAGAGCAGCGCTGGTAGCTGTTAATGAAGTGATGCTCTTTTTATTTGAGGGTCCCATTTCAGAGGGAAGATTTCAACCACTACCCTGTAACTCAGTTCAAAGGGGCAAAGTGACACTTGAAAACAAGGAGTAGGGGTAAAAATGAGAAATGGGGCTGGGCCTTAGTGACTACTATAAAATATCCTGAATCTTATTTGTGGAATCAGGTTTGTTTTACTAAAGTTCATTGCTTGTACTTACAGTAATGTTAACTGACCTTGATGCTACAGCAGCCATGTTCTTGGAGGCCTTGGCCACAGCGCGAGCAGCAGCCTCCAGCTGGGTGAACTCCTCTGGATCTCCCTCACTCTCAGACAGCAGTTTCAGGTAACACAGGTGAGTAGAAATGGGGGCCACAACATGCTCTATTGAGATGGTCTTTATCAAGCCGTCTACTGCCCCTGCCATTGCTTACAAGAGAAAACTTTCAGCATTTCAGCCTGTTACATTCAGCTTAACTGATTCAGTGTGCATACACTGTCAGTGTGTGCAATGTAAATACAGTCTTATGCAATTGTTTGATCACCCCTCATGAAATTACATATTTTTGATTTTCTAAGTATAAATAAGTCAACACATCCTACACACCTTAATGTGACATCTGCAAAGTTTAATGCACAGTTACTGTTTACTTGCTGAGTTTTACATATTGGGCAAAAACTTTTGCACATTTCTTCCCCCCAGTGTTCACTTACAACCCCATTTCCAAAAAAGTTGGGATGCTGTGTAAAATGTAAATAAAAACAAAATGCAATGATGTGCAAATTATTTAAACCTTGTACTTTTTTCAATGAAAATATAACTTGTTGTTGGCATCAAATTCAAAATGGGGATTTATTTTTCAAAAAACAAAATTTCTCAGTTGCAAAAGTTGATATGTTGTCTTTGTACTATTTTCAGTGAAATATAATGTTTAAATGATTTGCACATCTTTGCACAACTTTTAACTTTTCAGGAGAAGGAAAGAAATATTCTGAACTTTCAACGCAAGTTAATGTGAAAAGATGTTATTCCAGCCAATTTTGGACCATATCTGTTCCTCCATTCATCACAGTGTAAAGAGCAGCTGGCACTGTCAAATCAAACCGCAACAGAATTGGATATGCAAGGTTTGGTTCTGATGTTGATGGTATTTTAATGGGTTGAGTCAACATCTTTATGGTAAACCCATCTTGTAAAGCCCTTAAAAACAATTACAGGCTAAATTGTAACAGTTTGCAGATGATTGATACTCAAAAACAAAATGCAATGCCCTAAAAAATATAGAATATGTAGAAAAATATGTCTAATTACCTGCTGTTGTAGCGGCGCCATGCAGCTCACAGTAATGTAGTAGGAATGAATGAATAATGCAGTTCATTTGCTGCAGAGCTGTGTGATTGGCTCTCTTGTGTCTAATGGCAACAAGTGTAATCTGATCCAAACAATGACCTCATTAAATAATTAGATGATTAACAGGTATGAATGTTACCTTAATGCTGTGGAAATGCTATAACAGTGTCAGTGCAGTAAGAAAACTGTTTAAACGTTTAAACTGCTTCTGTTCAGGTGTTTCGGTAGTAACGACTCCGTTAGTGTAGTTTTAGAATAAATGATGGTTTGGTTCTAATGATAATCCTTCTTAGAACTGTTCTTCACCTCTAACCATTCAACACACTTAAAAATGATGGTTCAAGAACAGTAAAGTAAAAAAAAGTTTCCTTATAGAACCATAAACTTTCAAATGTTTCCACGATTAAGTGGTTCTTTGCACTGTGAAATGGTTCTTCAGATTGAAGGTGTGAGACAGCTGTAGATGATTCTATATGGAACCTATTTTTTTCTCTATATGGAAAAAAAGGGTTCTATGTATCAGTAAAATGGGTTCTGCTATTATTGCAGTGTCAGACTTGTTACAGTTAAAGAACCCTTTATGGTGCTATGTAGAACCCTTTTCAAAAAGGTTCTATATAGAACTATCTACAGCACATTCTCCATCAATCTGAAGAGCCATTTTACAATGCTAAGAACGTGTTCTTTGGAAAGGGTTCTTTGAATGTTCATGGTTCTATATAGAACCAGTTTCTTTACTAAAGAACCCGTGAAGAACCATCTTTTTAAGTGTGTACTAATTTAAATAATAAACTTAAATAATAAATAATAAACTTTCCACCACTTCAGAACATTTTTCGCTCTTGATTGTGAACATTTTAACAATATAGTGTTTCTTGGTGGCAAAATCTCTGCTGATACATTGAAAATTCCAAAATTAAGAGTGAAAAATGTTCTGAAGTGGTGGAAAGATTTCAAAACCATCCAAAAAGGGAACATTAACAAACTGGCCAAACATCAGTTGTTTAAACTCCGTCATCCAAGAGAAGGGGCATGCAACAAAAAAAAAAAAAATATAAAATACTAATATACCTAAAGGAAAGAGACACTAATGTTTGTTCCACTAATGTTTGAGTAATTTTTAAGTTTCCAGTTAATTACTGGGCTCATTTTCATTTCACCTGGATGTTATCACGTTTCTGATGGATACAGATGAATAAATGATAACACCAGCTGAGAAAGTAACAATAAACCATATTCAGAGACTGTTTTTGAGCATTTAAACTAATTGGCTGCTACCATTGCATTCAAGACTTAGAATTTGAAACCCTCCTGGAACCAAAGAGAAAAAGTTGTTGAATGTTTAATCCACTAGAGGGCGCCCATGTCACAAGAATCGGTATCATTCCAGAGGCAGCGACAAAAGACGTCCGATGGTGAACTTTAATTTTAAAATGAGAAAATCAATAGATAAATATACAGCTTGCACATTAGCTTGTACAACAAACATCCAATCTCAATGCATTTACAAAAAAAACTCTGTGACAGTAGTTTATTCAAAATAGGTGATAATGGTGACACTGAAAACACTCACAGTTACTCTACACTTACAATGTCAAGTCTTTCTCTCTCTGATGGACACCAGGCGTGAATAACTAGGCCAGGTCCAGAGGAGAGACGTGAATCTGTGTTCGCCATGCCAGTGATGTAATAGGTCAAAATATACAAGCTATTTTCTGCGTGTGAATCTTTCAGATACCAAGAATGCTAAGCAGTGAAATAACTTTGGTACGAAAAACAGCTTTGGTGTCATTTATAAAAAACTATGTTAAAAAAATACAGTATTAGCCTTCAGTGAATTACAGAGCTAATAAAAATAGGCTTGGTTTGACTTTAAAGGGCACATATCTTACTTTTTTGTTTTGTTTTCTGTGCCACGCCCCCTTATCCTTTCCAAAATAGTATATGTGGCTTTTTAAATCTAAAACGTTTTAGAAAAATAACAATCTGAATACCTCATCCTGGGACATAACAAAGGTCCTCTTATAATATTTGTGTGCTTTTATGTCATCATTCATTTTTACGTGACCATTTTCCAACCACTCTTTATCACTTAGATTTAAACAGGACTGACATATGTTAATGAGCTCTGTTCTGATTGGCTGTGCCTTGTTTAAAAAAGCAGTCCAGGCTGAAACACTCCTTATAACTTCAGTGTGAGTGGGTGGGGCCAAACTGCTGTAGGCTGAGTAGGTGGATATATATAAATGTGTTTGACATCACAAAAACATAAAACAACACAGCTTATTTTCCATATGTATTCATATACACCGATCAGGCATAACATTACGACCACCTCCTTGTTTCTGCGCTCATTGTCCATTTTATCAGCTCCACTTACTATATAGGTGCACTTTGTAGTTCTACAGTTACAGACTGTAGTCCATCTGTTTCTCTGATACTTTGTTAGCCCCCTTTTACCCTGTTCTTCAGTGGTCCGGACCCCCATGGACCCTCACAGAGCAGGTACTATTTGGGTGGTGGATCATTCTCAGCACTGCAGTAACACTGACGTGGTGGTGGTGTGTTAGTGTGTGTTGTGCTGGTACGAGTGGATCAGACACAGCAGTGCTGCTGGAGTTTTTAAACACCTCAGTGTCACTGCTGGACTGAGAATAGTCCACCAACCAAAAATATCCAGCCAACAGCGTCCTGTGACCACTGATGAAGGACTAGAGGATGACCAACACAAACTGTGCAGCAGCAGATGAGCTATCGGCTCTGACTTTACATCTGCAAGGTGGACCGACAAGGTAGGAGTGTCTAATAGAGTGGACAGTGAGTGGACACTGTTTAAAAACTCCAGCAGCACTGATAATGGGTGGAGAATGACCCACCACCCAAATAGTACCTGCTCTGTGAGGGTCCATGGGGGTCCTGACCACTGAAGAACAGGGTAAAAGGGGGCTAACAAAGTATCAGAGAAACAGATGGACTACAGTCTGTAACTGTAGAACTACAAAGTGCACCTATATAGTAAGTGGAGCTGATAAAATGGACAATGAGCGTAGAAACAAGGAGGTGGTCAGAATGTTATGCCTGATTGGTGTATGGTATCTGTACAGACTGGGGAGCGAACAGTGTTTGCATATGAAATTACAACTCTTACCAAAAAAAAGAAGAAAATTAAAGTCGGTTTTCAATGATAATAGGCCCTTTAAACAGAACATCTGTGAAATTTTAGGTGAAACAAACACATCATGGCACTGTTTACATTCAGAGAGCTGAGCTATGGATACGGCATGTTCTTGTTCTTTATAAAATGGATCTATATTTGATAATGGGTCATCTCAGTATGACAGGATGAAAGGATGAAGTAACAACTCAGGAGTATATAAATGTGCCTCAAGCTGCAGTTGCTCAGGCCTCTGGAAGAACACTGGAAAACTATTGTTTGCTTAGTATTTGTGCATTTTCAGCTCTTCTACTGCATTTATCTTCCCGAACATGCATGTTTCTTCTGTGTTGCGCTGATTTAGAGTCCTTTCAGCAGCCCACCGTGCCCCTCTGATCTCGAGCGTGGCCCTGCTTTGTAACAGATGTACGTTCTGAGGGAGCTCTTGCATTCCAAAGTGTTGACTTAAAACAGACTTTCTCCCATAAGCCCCAGAGAGAGTGAGCTTAAGCCCACTCCTGAAGTGCAGCACATTCTCTCCTATTTTTAGGTGCAGTATTTGAGCATGGCAGGGAACTCACACATCCCATTTATTAATATCTCTGTTTGAATGAGATTTTAAGAAATGCAGAATAATCACAAAAAAAGACAGGAAAAGTGTGACGGCCTCGGCTAGACTGGATTCTTGTACTCCATGGGCCGGTTTTCCAAACCAAGATTAAGCCTAAGACCTAAAAACTCCAGTAAAACTCAACTGAACACTGAAATTAAAGGGGAATTTCACCAAAATTTTAAGATTTCTGCATAATTAAATGGTTAAGATGTAAACAGAGTGGTTTGGTGTGAAACGCTCTGTTCTAGAGAAACCAAGTCAGAGCTGTTCACAGTGGTGGTGATAGGAACCAGACGTCCACCTCTGCTTTTTTCACCACCACTGTAAAGAAGTCTCTACAATGAACCATGTCAGTAAACTTTGTTTACATCTGAATTCTGCAGATATTATGCGTAATACGAAAAATAAAGAACTGTGAAAAAATATATATTCTATATATATATATATATATATATATATATATAAAACCAAACCACTCTGAATCACTTTGTTTACATCTCAAATACGCGATTATGCAGAAGATTTGTAAATCGATCAAAGTTCAGGGTCCATGTCTGGGAAACCGGCTCCAAGGCAACAAAGGTAATCTTACCTAAGGATGGAGGGACATATAAACACTTTAATTCAGATGTAATTCAGATTTTTATCATCCAGTGCAAATTTCAGGCTGATAGATTTGTAGAACTGCTAACTTGCACTGACCTGATCCTCGTGGCCTTTTTGCATTTGAGAATTCGGGACGTAATTGACCGCAGAATATTAATCAAACTCAGAAATGGCGTGTTTATATATCTCTCTGCAAAACAGAACGATAAATGAGACAAATCAGACAAGAGGTACTGCCCTTCATTTCTACGACATTCCTGTCTTATTATATCTGCTGTTTTTATGAAAACCTCCGTTTTCGTCTCTGGAAGATCTGCAACAGGAAGGTCGGAATGAAGAGCATGAACTCTTCGGCATCAGTGCTTTTAAAACGCAACACCATACAGATATGTCTGAAGGCCAAAAAAGAGAGACTTCAAGCTCTCCTGAAGCTCTTATCTATACAACATGGAATACATGTAAAAAAAAATAGATCTTTGCTCTTAATCAGCGCCCTGAGGGTATTTATTGTCTGCTAGTTTTGACACAATATCCACATCCTTCTGAGGAAGTGCCAGTTTCTCTCCTTCCATCGCTCCAGTCCGATCCGACTGGCAGGAGGCCGTCCCCGCTGGGATCAATGGAGTTCCACTGTTGAGTCTTTGGTGAGCCACACCGTCACCTCAAACGTCTCCGCCTACAGAAAACGAAAGTGTCAAACCTCCGAAAAATTTGGAGAATATTCTTCTCTTCCACATATGGAAGACTGGAGGGTGTGGGTCTTTAGGGCATGGCCACGGTGAAGGCAGCAGCTTATGGGATCTTCTGGGAACGCTTCCCAGCTCTCATTGGCTTTTCTGGACCCAATCCCAGCTCTCGTCGCTGTCGTTCCTGTTCTTTTCCGCCTCTATGATCTCTCGGTAGCGCCGCCTGAAGAAGCCCATCTGCAGAACAGAAAGTTGCAGCATGTCAGCATAATAGGACAGATGGATAAACTCTACCCTTCCCACGAAAGAGACACAGCAGTTCCTGCCAGATGAATAATGTCCTACCACACTTCCTTCCCTTCCTGAAACTCCTGCACTAAAGGAAAACCTGTTCACTTTACTAGAAAACACAAGGCTGCTAGCAAGAAATGGGAGCCATCAGAGAGATGTTGACAGTATTTATGTAAGCCATACCAATGTGATTATTTGTTTTTACTATTTTCCCCCTAAACTAAACAAGGACAAATAAATAAATTCAAGATGATCGTAGAAATGTAAATATATTGATATAAATACAGCTGGGGGTGAACAGAAAGATGAGCAGTGTCAGCAAACGGAATTAAACACCATTTAAAACGATTCCCACAGCCCAGCGTGGAGCGCGATTCGGATCAGCGTCTCTTTAGTCCAGCTGATAAGGCATGTGATAGTCACTTACTGACTGTGAAAGCTAGACCTTCAGTTTGGGCCGTAAATGTCCAAACTCCAGAAAAAATAAGAGAAAAGGACACCTCCGTGGTCATAATGGGCGAAAATTTATCATGGTATCATTAATATTACTGATGGTTTTGGTATATATCACGGTATAGTAGTGCTGGGTGATATGACCTCAAATCAACATCACGATTAATTGAATATTTTACCTCCATTATGATTAATTCATTTTTTTGCCCTCATAGTTCACTGACGAGGTTTGTACTGTAAACATGCTCTGCACATCTTAATGTAAATCGTCTCAGCCAGATTGGAATTCATGCGGCTTTTACGTTAATCCAACTCAACATTCGTCATCATTTCGCGCTGCTGAGACTCATAAACATCTGGGCTGATGTTTCTGTAACAAAAAATTAGAAAAGACTCATCAAAACCCTCTGTGATCAAAGAGATTTCTAAAGAAATGTCCGAACGCGGCCGCAGGAGAACGAGGCTGCAGGAGAACGAGGCTGCAGCGTCAAAGAACTGTTAAAAGTCTGAAAGCAGAGTTTAAAGAATCCGAGGACGCGAACCAAAGAAGTGACCGCGCCCTTTTTACGGCTCGAACACATTCTGGGTGATGAGCCCAGCTGTCAGTCAGTGAAGCTTCATGATGGCTCCTGTGATGCTGGTGAAGATGAAGCTGATCCTCCGGGAGCGACTGGCGTTCGTTGGCGGTCGTGATTGTTGACCTCTGGATGAGCCGCGAAGCAGCGTGACGCTCTGTTCTTTTACACATGAGGGTCAGTTTAGGAGCTGATCTGTTCAGACTGATGATACAGATCACATTTAAAAGATGATCTGAACAGCCAAACAAAAAATCAGATTTGGGCCACTTTTACCTGCTGTGTGAACGAAGCCTTAGCTTCCATGTTGCAGACTGGATGTGGCGGAGTCACGTGATACACGCGTGGTAGTAAGTTTTAAGGGGGCAGTTCATGAACACAGAGTCAGGAAAAAATCAAAATAACTGACATGGACAAGATTATGTCGGTTAGAGGTTCTGAATGTCGGTTTCGATTACTTTTCGATTAATTGCCCAGCCGTATGGTACAGAATATTTATGTATATTTTTTTCTCAAATAAAACCATTTGGGATGTTTAAGTAAACACTTTGTAGATTAACGTGCCGCATTATTCTGGATGCCCCTTCATTTTAATAAGAGTAATACTTAACAACTAAAGTGAACCTAAAATATTTTTATTGGGTGAAACAGTAAAAACAGAAATGAACAATATACAGTCAGATGTCAGTATTATGAATGTATGTAAAGCCCACATCAGCGTCTCTGAGCGCGACAAAAATGGTATGAAGCTGAAGTCGGCTGCTTATTTGCCAGCTTCTTGTTCGACTGTCACTGCTGCACCATTTAAGGTGGAACGAGACAATCAGAAAAAGAAGCTGGTGACTGGGAAGCCGACTTCAGCCTCGTAAAAACGCTGCTGAATGTAGTTTTACGTCCGAAAGTTTGTCTCATGTGCGTCTCTCACCCTCGACATTTAATCTCTGAGCGTTAGACGCTGCTGGAATTTAGTAAATATTACAGCCGTTCACTCAGTTTTAGCAGTTTAAGCTGCGGAGCCTCTCAGCTTGTAGGCAGAGACCGCGGTGTTGCCTGAAGCAGCCGGCTGAGCGAGGAGCATCATAGGAGGAGCACACAGAGAGCCGGCTAGTCTCCATGCTCGGCTAATGACTAACCCCAAGAGACTGGCCTTTTCTTTCCACTCTTTCCCCATTAACTCATTACAGCCTGATGTCGCTCCTTTGACAAAAAACTGGACTAACTGACCTCAGGCTGCAGCCACTACATGAGAGGTGATGGGATCAGCAAGTTTCTGACCTGTTTGTGTGTCAGGTGATCTGCATTTATTTGCATACTGGTATAACAGTAATACCTTAAGAAAAATTTCAACCAGTATATCAGATGAACCACTATATCGCCCATAAATTTCTACTAGTGCCCCTGTGGGATTCTGTTAGTATGTTAGCGCTAAGCTAACGATTCACGTTTACATTTTTTAGCTGTTCTAGAAGTTTGTAAAATAAATTCAGTTTTATTTTAAGCTTGAAACAGACATTAACACACATTTGACCCCTGTGTGTAGCAGTCATATAATTTTAACCTTTTCAAATTGAGACCACCGGTGGTTCCAAAACGCACTTCGTCATATCCTTCAGAACTTTCATATTTCATAAGCTACATTCTAAAGGTGGGGGTCATATGAGAGCTGGAACCATCATCTTTCCAGTCAAATAGATGGGTGATGTGATTTTAAACCCTTATAATAAAAGAAGCTGAACTCTCAATTTTTTTTTCTACTGAAAGTCGACCCATTTTTCCACAAATCTGGACTGTAAACTAAGAGCGTCTAAGCAATATGTGTAGATCATATAACACGTTCTGTTCATTTGAGGTGAGCTTTTAAAAATAAATAAATAAATTAATAAAATAAAAATGTACATTTTCATGCAGTTACTGAATAATTTGCCTTACGATTTGGTCATGTAAATTCAGATGGACAAACCAAAATATACCCTGGTCAGTAAGAGGTTAAAGTGCATAAAATACCGAAAGCCATTTAAAATGATTCCCACAGCACCGTGTAGAGAGCAATGTGGAGCAGCACCTTTTTAGTTGCTGATAACCAATATAAAACTCTTCTATAATAGTTGTTCAGCTCAACTACTCAAACCTGAATGGCTCTGGTGAACCACGACTATTTGAGGTAGACCTTCAGTTTGAGCCATAAATGTCAACAAACACCTCTACGACAAAGCTAATTTCTGCCAGCGCCCACATCTGGTTCTAGTAGTATGTTAGCGCTAAGCTAATAATGATTCACATGAACATTTCTTAGCCGTTGTAGATTAAACACATATTCGAGGCTTAAAGGGGGGGTTGCACTGTAGAAATCTGTGATGTTTATTTGTTTGATATTTATTGTTTTAAACTTGTTTGGTAGCCTTGTTAGCCTCTGTCAAAACAAACAGGACATCAAGCGAATCACTGAGAACCAAGAACGATCAAAGCAACAGACTCAGGATTAAAAATGATAACACTGCCTCAAAAAGAGTCATTTTTTGTTCCACATCAAGATGATGTAATGAAAATTGGCTACAACAATAAAGTAGTGTTAGATCATCCACACGTACTCTCTGCCAACGGAACATGTTCTCTAAATAAACTCGGGAATGTTCAGGAAATAATATCCAGAAGAATTAACAAACAGGTGGAGTGACGGACGGACGTGCAGTCCATTTTTTCCGCAGTCGAGGAGGTAAATAGATGAGCGGGGCTGCTGTGAGGCACAGTAAGTGTCAGAGCAGTGAGGACGACGTTCCTCTCTGGGTGACTCGCTGGGTTTGTCTTTGCTTTGAGAGCTGTTTATTGATCCAGACCTCTGCTCTCCTCAGGCATTTCCTGAACCGAGCATTGCTGGACATGTGCAGCTCTTGTAAAAGGGGTTTGTTTTGGCAGATTCAGGGTCTTGGGGAGTGGGAGGGAAACGTATCCCTGTACCAACATTCCAAGGTTTCGTTGTGGTATTCCCGTTGGAAAACCGAGGAGCAGAAAAGAAAAGAAGGATTTGTATGAAATGGGCCTTTGGAAATCACTTTGATTGCCACTTCCCTTTGGAGATCCTGCGTGCTGGTGTGGGGGGTATGGTGTAAGTTATCATCGGCACTGAGTTTTGTCCTTTTTATGCCCCTCTAAGGCCGGCTGGGAGCTCTCAATTAGCCCCTCGAGCCATCTGTCCAAGAAAAGCAGCCGTTCATAACAGGAACGTGTGAACGAGAGACTGAATTAGAGCCACAGGGCACGGGACGCTTACAGAGGGGGTGGAAAGACTCCCACACTGTCTGTTAATGGACTTGAACTGAGATATGAATGCCATTCACTACTGAATCGGGATGGAGAGAAATATGGCCTACATATGCTATAACTACGTACTGTACTTTAAAAGGGAATTCAACCAGTTTTTCAACATTTCTGTACAACTCAGTGTGTGAGATGTAAACAGAGAGATTCAGAGTGGTTTGGTGTGAAATGGTTCAGATGTCTTTACTGTGGTGGTGATAGGAACCAGGGGTCGCCATGACTACAACACAAATATAGACATTTTATTTACTATCCAGAACCACCAGTGAACCTACACGAGTCTTCTGAGTTCATATGGAATGTTGATGATGGAAAATAGTGGAAAATCTGGAAACCTGTACTATTTTGGGGACTATTTTGCTTTAGAACTCCCTACATTTATCCCTCCACCTTTAAAGCAATACATTTTCAATTTAAAAAAGTCTTAGGAATAAGGCAGTGAATTCATAACCATTTCATGTAGGAACTTTCTGTGTGGGAGCTTTTAGAGGTGGACGTCTGGTTCCTATCACCACCACTGTGAACAATTCTGACTCAGTAAGTTTCTCTAGAACGGAGCGTTTCACACCAAACCACTCTGAACGTCTCTGTTTACATCGACTC